ATACGAACTATTGAAAATAGAGTAAGATTGATTTGTCTTGTTTTTCAAATCGTCTTACAATGTCATTGGCGTAGCCAGGAGGGGGTGCGATCGCACCCCCCCCCTTCATTACCAATGGAAATATGACCAAGATCATAGAGGAAGAAAAGAGCCTTAAAATGCTTTTTATTTGAAGCTTCTAGCTCAATTTTGAAGGAAGTTACATACATTTTTGTAAATTCAAAACAAATCTTACACGTTTTCTAATGATCTAATTATGTTGTGTATTCGTATATTTCGTTTTTTGGTTTTTTTCGACCGGGTACCAAGTTTGAACCCAGCATGGAGGATTTACTACCCGGTACCCGGTTTTTTATACAAGCCCTATCTAGAAAATTAACCTCATTCCCTATAATTTGATGTAGATTAATCGAACCCCTATATCATGGGCTTTCAATTGAAAGCCCATGCCTACAGTATATGAATAGGTACATTTTAATATATAACATTATGGGGGTAAGCGTTTCATAGTTGGTCACGACGCCAGAAGTGCAAAGTATTGTTCCGAATTTTTGAATTTCGTGTTAGATTACGGTAATCACACCTGAAGCATGGTTTTTGTTTTTGATAAATTACAATAACGTTTAATAATATTCCTATGCGTATTTTGTGAAATTGTGTTGACGTTTATTTAAGTTACAATGTAACGGTGCATTATATTTGATTAATCAGTATCTGAAAGTTTGATTTAAGTACTTTTACACGCTTTTACATTAGTCCCAATCACGCAAATCCCTTGAATGTCCCGGGACATCCTGCAAATTTAGGTGGATGTCCCGCGAAATCCCGCAAATTTAGGGCACTTTGTCTAAAAAATCTGTCCCTCTTTGAAGTTTTTGGTGGTACACCTGTTAACTGTCCCGCAATTAGGGTGTTTGTCCCTCGAATGGTCCCGCGAAATCCCGCGAATTTGATAAAAAAAATCTCCTATTAGCGTAATCACGCAAATCCCTCAAATGTCGCGCAAAATCCCGCGAATTTGGTAGATGTCCCGCAAAATCCCGCGAATTTTGGGCACTGGGTCTAAAAAATCTGTCCCGCGAGAAAATCTTTAGGGGTTGACAGTACTGGAGAAAGTTGTTACTTTCGATCATGATAAAGGTCCTTGAGAGCATGAATCAAATGTCAAATAAACACAACCTACCTCTTAAATGTAGTAGCACCGGAAGTTTATGACGTTATACCCAGTATTTTCCGCAGGAGATTTGTAAGTACATGTACTCATTTATTTCAACGTTTTGACAGAATATGGTCCTATCCCTTTCGTAGAAACATTGATAATACCATGCCGATATACCTCTAATATCACTTCGTCTGGACATTTTGTCTGAACATGGTCTAAATCTTCTTAAACCTTCTAGAAAGCACGACAATTTCTTGAAGAACAATGATAATTTTTCACGAAAATCATCATAGTTTCAACAATTTTAGCCCTATCATCTTTAAATATTGATAAGATTAACAATACAATTCTTACATATCATCCAGACACTTCAGTTTCCCAAATCAATGAAAGAATTCCGGGGAAATTAATTTTTCTTTGAAAGTCTATGATGTAATATAAAAGGAGTACGACGTTCAGGGAATTAAAAATCTACACTGAAATGTCATATACCTCCTTTACAGCTGGGCAGCAAGGCCCCTAGTTTCAATTGTCTACATTGTTTGGCATTAAAATGAGGTATTCTTCCGCGGAGAGAAAATAGATCATTGATTGGATTTCTGTAAAAATGACAGCCTGTTTCAAACTAAGTTTAAGGGTATAAGGAATTTTTTTAAATGTATATTTATTCAATATTATGTGAGAGTATAGTCTCATGCGTCGATCTGATGTACTTTTGAACGAATATCTTATTCATGGACGTTTCTGTGACGTATTTCCATATGGACCAAATACGATATATTTTTTAACCAAAATAACGCTTGAATCGCAAATTTTGCTGGGCCGTTTGATGATAACGTTTGTTATATTTTATCATATTCAGATATGTGATAGCCCTAATGACGCCGGTTCTTTTCCACCTTGTGGCCTATTCAAAATCACAATATGAGTTGGCAAGATCTGACTTTGAAATTGGGCTTCGCAATTCATACAATTTCATTTTTTATTTTGACATGAGTAGAAATAAAGGTTTTAAACTCTACCAGAAACTTACAGAAAGTCTAGGAAAGCAATTTATTTTAAAAACATACATTCAAATGCATCTTTGCTGAAATTTCTAATGTTAGGTATTAAAGCTACTCACTTTTATCCATGTTTTACTGCAGACGATGATTATTTGCGCTGTAGAAAAACTGAATAATTTTTGAGCCAAAAATAAGTCTGGGCCGTTTTATGATAACGATAATTTCATTTTTTCAAATAAGTGTTTTTTTATAGTGCTGATTCCAAATGTTATTGCTGTCTCAATAATCAATTGAAAGACGCAGAAAAATTGGGGAATTTCAATCATGAAGATAGGTGTAAAATGACAGGTCCCCAATCAATTATATACGGCGCCATCTTTATTTGCATAGTTCAAGGTCACTGAAATATTGCTGAAACGTTCAGTCTTTTCAGTGATATTATGCGATAATATGGCTCAATTAGGTATACTTTCAAAGAAAAGTTAATTTCTCATAATTCTTTCATTGATTTGGGAAACTGAAGTGTCTGGATGATGGATAAAAAATGTACAGTTAATCTAATCAATATTTCAAGATGATATAGAGTCAAAATTATAGAAACCACAATGATTTTTGTGAACAATGATCATTTTGTTCAAAAAATTGTCGTGCTTTCTAGAAGGTTTGAGAGGTTTTATACCGTGTTCAGACGAAATGATGAGACGTAGTGATACTAGAAGTATATCTGCATGGTATGGTCAATGTTTCTATGAAAAGGAAAGAACCATATTCTGTCAAAATGTCGAAACAAATGAGTACATACAAATCTCCCGCTATACTTATATGACGTCAAAACTTCTGGTGCTACGATGTATAGGAAAATGGGGTGTGATAAAGTAATTTAAAAATATCTATGAATTTTAATCGCTACTTGGAAAATAAATTCTCTTTATCGTCTTAAAAATTCAACTTTTTTATGAAGAAAAAACATTTATTCTCAATTAAAGGGGCAATAAGGACTGTAGAGAAAATAGGAATGTTTTTTCTTTTTTTCTGAGCTATCAAGGCAACATTTGGTTTAACATCTTCTTTGACATACTTATTTCCTTAAAATGTATGGATAAATTATCAATTTCAGCATTAAGAAGTGTAAATTCAGTTCAAAGCTTCAAAAAAGGGGACTTCCACTTTTATATTTTTAAAATCCACCATGTTTCAAGAGGAATATCAGCTAAAATAATGTTTATCTAGGGGGTTTCTTTGTAGATAATAAAAATAGATGTTAGTATTGATGAAATATCCAAACTTAAATATATTTTGACACTGGTCCATGATCTTTGATCGTTGAATCGTCTGCACTAATTATTGCACCTTTAATTAGGGTATAATTTTTTGGTGACACCTAATAGACTAATAGATGGTTTATGTGCAATAAAGCTGTAGTAGCCTCTTGTAATTTAAAAAGTTTCGTTCATATTTTAACAAATCAAACATTTTCAAAAAACACAATGCAGAGAAACACCAAAATAAAAGAGGTCTAACATTTGTTAGCCAATAAAACTACACACAGTCCAAAATCTATAAAAGTTTTGTATCTAAAATATTATGAATGCATTTTACCATGCCATCTTTATTTTAAAATTATTTCTATTGGCCTTTGCCTATGTATTTTCCATATAATATTGCACTATGGTCCTTTGATTTCTTACTTTTTAAAGGATTGATTGACTCCACAAAGTGATTTTGACTGATCTAATCTACCTATTCTATTTAATCTGATCTATCTGATCTGATTGATCTATCTGATCTTATCTAATCTATCTGAGCTATCCATCTGGAATCTGAGTCTGAATTGAACTTGTTAAATTTCCAATATGGTGTTATACATGTACTTATACTTGCTATTACAACTTTACCTGTATGAGTATTGACAAGGGTGACTATGAAAGTAGGTAAACACTACTTGATAAAACTATAAAAAGCAAGGTCACAGATGAAAGAAGTATTCATGTGTAAACATTCCTATGCTATTTCAAAACATATATTGATTTTCATTTGTATTAGTCTGCAAGGTACTCCATATTAGCTTCACTCATATAGTGGACAATATCATATATCCTTAGGTATTATGATCAAAGGCAGTCAAGAATAACAATGATGAATATATATACGAATACGAATATAACAATATTGGTCTAAATTTGAAAGGGTTTATGTACATGTACAACAAAATATTCCAAAATACAACAAACAGGCAACAAACGCACTTCTTATCAAGACAGCAGATAACTACATAAAGGATGTGATAGTAGGATATATGTAATGTTCCAGAGTTTCATTCGGTGTTTCTTGACACTACAATGTGACACTACAATCTGACACTACAACGAATATGACTGGACTCGTGACACCTGTGCATATATTAGGATTGTATATTCTGTTATTATCAGGTACCTGTACTAAGTGTACTTAGTCATATGAAGCTAATATATTGGCTGACAAGATATGTAGCTCAATCATGAGTTTGTATTATTTCTAGTGATTAGGGTGGGTTATATGGTGAATATACATTTTCATGTATGACCCAGTGTAATATGATCGCAGCTCAAAACCATCATAGAAAATATACATTCATTTAAAGAATCATCTTTTCTAATTCATGGGAATGGTAGAGTCAATCTAACTGATCATCAGAGATTTCCAATCTTGAAGGAGTATCGGGGTTATTCATTATATTAACATGAATTGAAACCAAGACTTATATAACATATTACTCTATATTCCAGTTGGCAGCACTGAGGCACGTGGAAAGTGCCACTTTACATGCCCACGACCAGGGGAGCCTGAACATTATACGGTATGCTGCAGTAATACCAAGAATGGCTATACGGAGGCATATTGCTGTAGTGCATACATGTAAGTACTTAATGCTGAGAGAAATAATATAAAGAAAACAAAATGGGCTTTGAGTAAAAAGAGTAAAGTTATAGGCTTAAAAACATTATGAATCGATAGAAATACAATGTCATAATAACAGGCCTGTCAACTTGGAAACACCTAACATGAGTGACTCCCGGGGAGTAACTTATAAATGGGGGGTAGGTAGTATGTATCCAACAGACCGAATATGATATTCGGTCTGTTATGATTGATACCCCTGGCATGGAAATCTCGGCGATATTTTGTGCACATAAATATCTCGTTTATTACAAGAATGTTCACCTTGAAAATTGGTGAATATGTTGAAAAGATGTTCATCTTAAACTAGAAGCAAAAATATTTGTATAAGGCGGGTACAAGTTGATATAAAATAATGAAATGTTCAGACTCACCAAAAGTTCAGGATGTGTTCATAAGTACATCGCGAAATCAATGTCAAGGACGTTTTGAGTTCACGAGATCCAAACGAGATATGCAAATTTTTGAACTTTGACAACACATGACCACTTGATTACCTCGGCCTTCTTCATGAATATTTCCGCTCTATTTACTATAAATGACGAGATTAATCGGGATAATGATAATAAATGACTAGATCTAATAAATTCCCGCACAAATGGAATTTATCAATACGCTTCCGTAATGTTGCTCCGTCAGTTCCACGTGTTATTTGTTTACAAATAGACTGACGTCACTGGCTAAATCTCGTTTATCGTGAGAATTGGCATTGCCAAAATGGCTTGACCTAATCAATGGCTTCGCTACAAGAAGCGTCTGTACATTTTATGAATATCTTCAGTAAGAGGACAATATACGAAAAAATAATATTGTAAGTTCTTTATAAGGTAATCATTTTATCATTAAACAAACTTATTTGAAACATTTATACAACACCACATTTTACAATAGGTGACTTACAGTCTGAATTTATTCAGACGAAGGATACAGTCTAGGGGGGTAGGTACAAAACATTTTGAAGCAATTGCGTGACATATACATAAATTTCGAACCAAATGCGTGACATACGGAATTCCAGTGAAATATCCAAATTCTTTTTTTATGTATTGGCATTCATGTTTTTCAAGTTCTTCTTTAGAAATATTTTTGCTTGACAATTTTCAGGTATAATGCGTATTTGCCACATATTCTGTCACGCACAAAAAGCTGGTGTGACTTCAATTTCTTCAGCAAATGTGTAACAAATACGCAAATTGCGGGACAGTTAGACGGCCTGCACTAATCATGGCATGATTGTGGTATTAAAATGTTTTCACATTTTCAATCCACCTTACTGCTCTGGTCCCAGAATTGTTAAAACTGGGAGTCAATGTGAGACACAAAAGGATGATGCTCTCCCGCATCACATGTTCTTATTTCTTATCCAATGCAATGCTTGTATTTAGGGTTGAGTTAGCATTAAAATCATGCGGGCCGTAGGGAGAGGGGGTTATGAGGGTTCATGCGAAATCTTGACTCTGACTAAAAAAGATGAACCCACCTCAGTACTGTCAACCCCTAAAGATTTTCTCGCGGGACAGATTTTTTAGACCCAGTGCCCAAAATTTGCGGGATTTTGCGGGACATCTACTAAGTTCGCGGGATTTCGCGGGACATTTAAGGGATTTGCGTGATTGCGCTAATAGGCCAACTTTTTTTCTCAAATTCGCGGGATTTCGCGGGACCATTCGAGGGACAAACACCCTAATTGCGGGATAGTTAACAGGTTTAACGCCAAAAACTTGATAGAGGGACAGATTTTTTAGACAAAGTGCCCTAAATTTGCGGGATTTCGCGAGACATTCACCTAAATTTGCAGGATGTCCCGGGACATTCAACGATTTGCGTGATTGGGACTAATGTAAAAGCGTGTAAAAGTACTTAAATCAAACTTCCAAATACTGATTAATCAAATACAATGCGCCGTTGTATTGTAACTTAAATAAACGTCAACACAATTTCACAAAATACGTATAGGAATACTTTTCTAGATAGGGTTTGTAGAAAAAAACGGGTACCGGGTAGTAAATCCTCCATGCTGGGTTCAAACTTGGTACCCGGTCGAAAAAACCGGGTACCCAAAAAACGAAATATACGAATATACAACATAATTAGATCATTAGAAAACGTGTAAGATTTGTTTTGAATTTACAAAAATGTATGTAACTTCCTTCAAAATTGAGCTAGAAGCTTGAAATAAAAAGCATTTTAAGGCTCTTTTCGTCCTCTATCATCATGGTCATATTTCCATTCTGAGGCCCAGGAATACGTTAAAAATGTTTAAAAAGTCCCCTAGTGTACTGAGTTGGTAATGCGTGGTGTAAACATGTATATAAATAGACTATATTACTTACATTGAATAAGAATACTACTGATTTCTTATTAATGATTGTATACCTGAGCCTCAGTTTCCATTGGTAATGAAGGGGGGGGGGGTGCGATCGCACCCCCTCCTGGCTACGCCAATGACATTGTAAGACGATTTGAAAAACAAGACAAATCAATCTTACTCTATTTTCAATAGTTCGTTTGTTGGTACGTGAATTGTTTTGATTATGATTTAAATCTGTAAATAGCTATCGTTGCTTTAGCAGGGAGGTGACGTGTGTTAATTTACATGATTTTGATTATTAATCATAATTTAAGTTATCCCAATTTTCGACAAAATGTCCACTGAATTGTAAATTGTTATGCCTTACAATGTCATAGGCGTAGCCAGGAGATGGTGCGATGGTGAGATAGCACACCCCCCCCCCCCCCATAACCAATGAAAATATGGCCATGACGATAGAGGAAGAAAAGAGCCTGAAATATGCTTTTTATTTGAAGCTTCTAGCTCAATTTTGAAGGGTACATACATTTTTGTGAATTCAAAACAAATCTTACACGTTTTCTCATAATCTACATGTAATTATGTTATATATTCGTATTTTTCGTTTTTTTGGGTACCCGTTTTTTGACCGGGTACCAAGTTTGAACCCAGCATGGAGGATTTACTACCCGGTACCCGGTTTTTCTACAAACCCTTTCTAGATATCAGCGTCCATTTATTGTAACTCGCGTTTGCTAACATTTGCTCAGTTCTGAGATGAAGGCCACACGGATAGTAAAAAGGCCAACGTTAGAACTATTTTTGACCTACATCCCTATTTTCGTAATTAAAATGAAAGTCGAACCCTTCCTCTTTATTTTGATACCAAACAACAGCATGCTAGGTACTTAAAATCAGGTAAACTTTACTCCTCAAAAGTGCAAAAACTTGGCTTCTTATATAAGATAAGATAATCACAATATAGGGGATTGCAACAATTTTGGAAATTCGCGGAGGTCAAAACCACATTTGCGGGACTTCGCGGGACATTGCGCGACACGCGAATTAGCCTAATTTTGATCAAATTCGCGGGATAATCCCGCCATTCGCGGGACACTTGACAGCTCTGCCACCTTTTCCAGCAATTATGCAAATCCTCCAAATTTTGAATTATTTTTTTGCAGTATTTTAGTAATTTGTCATTTTTGATTACCTTATATGTTCAAGGTATATGCAAAGATGGAAATAAGTGAGATAATAGTTTTGCAAGGCCTGAAATACTGTTCTAATACCATTGAAAGGAATTCAATTGTCCAAATAAAGCATACTTACTGAGTAGAAACTGTCTGATTGTGACATAACATCAAAATTTTCCCTAATTTATGATATAAATCAAAGAATTTTGAACATGTGAAAATTCAGTGATGCAATACATGTGATGCACCAAAGTTCTGAACGCTATAAAACTCATTTTTGGTCAGGAGTCACTTTAAAAATTGTTTTCTTTCATTGGAGCTCACATTTTTGCTAATTTTTTATCTCCTATTTGTTTGAAGAGCACATTGTGGAAGTAATATAAAATACAAGATAATTGAATTACAACCTACATATATGCTTGAATTAAATTGGGGGAGTCTTAATGTCTGATAATGTCCTTGAGCTATTTCTTTTGGATTTATTTTTCTGACCTATCAAGAAAGTAGTAAAATCATAAAATTTAAAGGAATTTTAACAGGCCTTTGTTGAAAAAAGTTCTAGATTTTTGCCCCTAAATGTTCCAAATGAACGAAATTGTCAAAAATTGAGATATTTCAATGGTCTTATGATTTTGTTCTTGCAAATGTTTGGCAAAGGCAAATCTTCAAATTCCAGCACACTGGCAAAAATGAATAAAATGGACCAAAATTAAGCTTTGGCAAAATTTAAGCAAATTTGGCAAAGTTTAAGCAAATCTGGCAAATTTTATTCAAATTAGTCATAGATTAAACATATTTGAAAAAGTTATAACCAAATTCACTGAAAAGTGGCTCTAAAAAAGATTTTTGCCGAAAATATTCGAACCCCCTCCTGTCAAATTCTGGCTACGCCACTGAAAATCCTTTGGAATCTATTAGAATCCTTTACGGTTAAAAGGGAATGTAAAAAACCCAAAATGTTTGGTTCGATAAAACTTTAAATACAAAGAATAGAGAGATTTTCGCACATAAGTGAAAGTACAACTTATATGTATACTTTAAAGGGTCATGTCGAACTATTATATTTACTAAAATCAATTTTAAATTGTACTTAATGGAACATAACAATTCCTGGTATAGAAAAGCTCCATCAACTAGAGACTGTGAATGCACTGTCATCTGCATGTGTAGATTATGCACATTATAATTAAATGCTTGTTTCCGTGTCCTAGTAGTTGTAGTGTATTATAAACATGATCCTTTAAAGTGAGTCATGATCCTTTAAAGTGAGTCATTACATAAACAAGTTGATTATTTCAAAGTTTTCATGATCAGTATAAGTTCAATGAACTTATAAAACGGTATATATAAGTAGATGATAAACGTATACAGTTGGACCTCCATATAAAGCTTTAACTACATGTACGTGTATGGAGAAATTGACTGCAAGCATTTTTTTTAATTAATTGGCTGAGTAGGAACAGTATCCAATC